GAAGCTTATCTAGATTGGGAAAGGAAGATGGAGTCTAATTTTCTGGTCCAAGGAACTTACGAGCTCAACAAGGTGAAGATTGCAGTTTCGGAATTTCATGGGTATGCGCTTCTATGGTGGGAGCAGTTGGGAGTCACCAGAAATCGCTTAAGGGAACTTCCGATTACTACTTGGGATCAGCTCGTTATACAGATGAGGAAGCGGTTCGTTCCGGCCCATCATCAGTGCGAGATACTCAACAAGCTTAGGCGCCTCGTCCAAGGTACGAAGTCTGTTCGAGATTATTATCAAGAATTGGAAACTTTGCTCATTCGTGCAGATTTACGAGAAGGCGAAGAGATGGTAATGTCGAGATTTCTTGGAGGACTTAACCGAGAAATTCAAGACAAGGTGGAACTTCAGGATTTCGCAGATATACAAGAGATGGTGCATAAGGCTGAATTGGTGGAATCTCAAGTCAAGAGGCGAAACTTCAAGTCCACATTCACGCCTAGTGTGCCTAAGCCTAAGGAGATCAGCAAGCCAGCTTACTCCAGAGACATCAAACCGCCATCTACTGGAGTTAAAGAAGAAGCTAAAGCTGAGTTCAAGCCTCGAGGTGGCACTTCTATCAGCAATGTGAGGTGTTTCAAATGTCAAGGAATGGGACATTACTCTCGAGATTGTCCAAACAAGAAGGTTTTCTTGTTACAAGAGGGAGGAGAGATAGTTCCTCAAGAAGAATCAGAGGCCGAATATGAAATAGAGGAAGAGGAAGAAGCTGCTGCCGTGGGCGAGATGCTGGTTGCCAGAAGGACTTTGAGTGTTCAGAGTCAACCTGAAGAGACTTGTCAGCGAGAGAACCTGTTCCATACGAGATGCTTCATTCAAGGAAAAGTTTGTAGCCTGATCATAGATGGAGGAAGTTGTACTAATGCTGCAAGCGAAGAGATGGTTAAGAAGCTCCAGCTCAAGACTATTCCTCATCCAAGGCCGTATAAGCTTCAGTGGTTGAATGACAGTGGAGCCTTGACCGTATCTCAGCAAGTGATGGTTTCTCTATCCATTGGGAAGTATGAAGATGAGATTCTATGTGACGTCATTCCCATGGGTTCGAGTCATGTGTTGCTAGGCAGACCGTGGCAATCAGATCGTAGGGTGATACACGACGGTTACACCAACAAGCACTCATTCGAGTTCAAAGGTCGCAAAATTACCCTCCTACCTCTCACACCTACCGAGATTTATCAAGATCAAATTCAAATGAAGCTCAAGGAGAAGGAGAAAGTCGCCAACAGCCTCTACATAAACCACAGTGAATTTTCTAAGCTCTTTGATCCTGAAATGACTACTTTTATGTTTGTGTACAAGGAATCCCTTGTTAGTACTAACCCTTCACAGGAGCTTCCTAGTGCTATGTTTGAGATTTTGCAGGAATACAAGGACGTTTTTCCAGTAGAAATTCCACCAGGGCTACCTCCAATTCGTGGGATAAAGCATCAGATTGACTTGGTACCAGGATCAGCCTTGCCTAACAGGCCAGCATATCGAACCAATCCTGTAGAGACTAAGGAGTTGCAAAAGCAAGTGGAGGAGCTGATGAGCAAAGGCCATATCCGAGAAAGCTTGAGTCCATGTGCGGTTCCAGTTCTGTTGGTGCCAAAGAAGGATGGTTCCTGGAGGATGTGTGTAGACTGCCGAGCTATCAACAACATCACTGTGAAGTATCGGCATCCGATCCCAAGGCTAGATGATATGCTGGATGAGCTCTGTGGATCGACAATCTTCTCTAAGATCGACTTGAAGAGTGGATATCATCAGATCAGAATGAAGGAAGGGGATGAGTGGAAGACGGCATTCAAGACAAAGCAGGGACTCTACGAGTGGCTAGTTATGCCGTTTGGCCTCACCAATGCTCCCAGCACCTTCATGAGACTAATGAACCATGCTCTGAGACCATTCATTGGCGTGTTCGTAGTGGTTTATTTCGACGATATCCTCATCTACAGTAAAGGTTTGGAAGAACATCTAGATCACATCAGATCGGTTCTTGATGTTCTTCGCTCTCAATCTCTCTTTGCTAATTTATCTAAATGTTCATTCTGCACTAACGAGATTGTTTTCTTAGGCTTTGTAGTAAGTGCAGGAGGAGTTAAAGTAGATGAAGAGAAGATAAAATCTATCAAGGAGTGGCCAACCCCCAAGAATATTGGAGAAGTCCGAAGTTTCCATGGCTTAGCAGGATTCTACAGGCGTTTTGTTCGTGATTTCAGCACCATAGCCGCGCCTTTAACCGAAGTAATCAAGAAAGACGTGGGGTTCAAGTGGGGAGAGGCGCAAGAACAGGCTTTTACAGCCCTTAAAGAGAAGCTTATCAATTCACCCTTACTAGTACTTCCTGATTTTACTAAGACTTTTGAGATTGAATGCGATGCTTCTGGTGTAGGTATTGGAGCAGTTCTTATGCAGGATAAGAAGCCCGTCGCTTACTGCAGCGAAAAGTTAGGAGGATCAACGTTGAATTATCCCACGTATGACAAGGAGTTATACGCATTGGTTCGAGCTCTCCAGACGTGGCAGCATTACTTATGGCCTAAGGAATTCGTCATTCATACCGATCACGAGTCTCTAAAGCACCTCAAGGGTCAGCAGAAACTTAACAAAAGACATGGGCGATGGATGGAGTTCATTGAGACATTCCCCTACATTGTTAAGTACAAAAAAGGTAAAGATAATGTGGTCGCAGACGCATTATCCCGGAGGTACACTCTTATTTTGACTTTAACATCAAAGTTGATTGGATTTGAACACATTATAGATCTTTATGAATCTGATACTGACTTTTCTGAGAGCTATGCCAAATGTCATAAGTTTGCCTGTGAGAAATTTTATAGACAGGATGGATACTTGTTCTTCAGTAACCGATTGTGCATACCACAAGGATCTATTCGAGAGTTACTGGTACGAGAAGCTCATGGAGGTGGATTAGCTGGACATTTCGGTGTCACAAAGACACTTCTTGGGCTACAAGAGCACTTCTACTGGCCGAACATGAAGAAGGACGTTGAGAAAATCTGCTCTAGATGTGTCGTATGTAAGATGGCTAAGAGTAAAGTTCAACCTCACGGTTTGTATACTCCTTTGCCTATTCCTTCTCAATCTTGGACTAATATCTCTATGGATTTTGTAGTTGGCTTACCTCGCACCAGAAATGGTAGAGATTCTATTTTTGTAGTTGTTGACAGGTTTAGCAAGATGGCTCACTTCATCGCTAGCCACAAGACAGATGATGCTGTGAATGTAGCTAACTTGTTTTTCAGGGAAGTAGTATCACTGCATGGAATGCCACAGGTTATCGTTTCAGATCGAGACACGAAGTTCTTAGGACACTTTTGGCGAACGCTTTGGGCTAAGCTGGAAACAAAGCTCTCATTCTCAACTACGTGTCATCCTCAGACCGATGGACAGACCGAGGTGGTGAATAGAACGTTTTCTACACTTCTAAGGACTTTGGTGAAAAGTAACCTCAAGACATGGGAAGAGTGCCTGCCTCATGTCGAGTTTGCTTACAATCACGCTAAGCATTCTGCTACTCTCTTTTCTCCTTTTGAAATTGTATATGGGTTTAATCCACAATCACCTCTAGACTTGATCCCTTTGCCTTTAAGTGGAAAATGCAGCTTGAATGGCAAGGAGAAAGCTGAACAGGTCCGAAGAATACATGCTAAGGCTAAGGAGAACATCGAAAAGAAAACAAAGCAGTATGAGAAGCATGCCAACAAAGGACGAAAGGAGCTGATTTTCGAAGAAGGAGATCTGGTGTGGATCCATCTGAGGAAGGAGCGATTTCCAGCTGAGCGAAAGAACAAACTAATGCCCATAGTTGATGGACCATTCGCAGTCATCAAAAGAATCAACAACAACGCCTATCAGATTGATCTTCAAGGTAAGTATGATGTTTCTGATACGTTCAATATTTCTGACTTGCTTCCTTTTGCTGCAGATTCAGATTTGAGGGCAAATCCTTTTCAAGAGGGAGAGGATGATATGATCGTGACGAGCTCAGAGGAGGAGGAACCAGAGGTAGCTGGTAGGATCACTCGTTCTAGAGCTAGAGATATGGCTAAGGAGGCTCACGCACTCATTGCCACAGAGGACAGCGATCACCAGGAGGCTGGAGCTCACATCTTCAACATCTCTATCTTGAAGAATGAAGAACCCAGTAACAATGACTAGGTAACTTAGGTGATGATTCTGTACTCTTTTCCTTGGTGAAGATTTTGGAAGGCAAGGAGGTTCTTCTCTAAGGTTTTTAATGAGGCAGAAATCATTGCTACGTCGAGTTACTTAGAAGTTGTTACTAATGGGTAATAATGTGCAAAGTCACAATGACTTGTGCACTTAGTATTTTGGCGCACCACTTAGGAATTTAGGGACGCCTCGCTGTTTTAATTTTTTAAATCAAACTTCTTGTTGTTTTTATTTCACACTTCATGTAGTTTGTTTCTTAGGGCTGCGATTTCTCTCTAAGTCTATTTAAGAGAGAAAATCGCCTATGTCATAGCCAGTGAAGAATTTTGATCAAACTTTTAACGTGTTCTTCTCTCTTTGATTTCTGAGAACTAAAAACTCTGAAATTCGAATCTCTTAAAAACTAATCAGTTTACAAGAGATTCTTCTATCTATCCATCATCACCTAATCGATCATCACACCACGTCCATCTTCTCATCTCACTCGATCCGCCGCATCACACCACCATCTCAAACCATCGATTCGATCCGCCCACCACCATCGATCTCTCATCGCGCCACCATCGCTGCTTCATCGCACCAATATCATCGCATCTGTTCCTCCAAGTCACGATCTCGAATTCGCCTGTTGCCTTATCTTCAGAGTTGATCTCCTCGGATCGTATCAAGAAACAAGATCTCAGGGAAGTGTTCTTTACGCAATTCCTTGAGACGTTGAATTGTCAAACCTTGAGGCCGCCCCAAACCTTGACAATTCCAACTCAGAAGACTCATTGGGTATTGGACGGTCCCTCCATTGGGACCATCTCAGTTTGGATGTGTTTAGCTGCTCTCAAAGTAGCATTAGTCTCATCCTCGACTTTTCTCTTTTTTGTGATCCTCGCTTGAACGATTTCTTTACCTTTCAGAGTGGTTTCGGCAGCCGGAGCTCTCGCTTTTCTGACAGCCTTTGAAGGTCTTCGTCTTGTCTTTGGTTTCAAAAGGTTAGCCCCGGAAGAACTAGCCCCCGAAAAGGGAGACGAGAAAACCGTCGGACGACCTTGAGAAACCTGGCTGAGCCCAAGATAATCAGCTGAAACTCCATCGAAATTGAGGTTAAGATCATAACTTCGAGTAGAACCCGCTGCAATAGCAGAACCCATAAATTTGCTTTCACCTCTTCGCATCTCTGGCTCACCCTGAGACATAATTTGTTTGCTGTAATCAAACACTATTCCTTTGTCTTTGTGAAGATCCTTTGAGACATGAGGAATAGGCTCCAGACTTAGCATCGACTTTTGAGCAAATAAATCACCTTCAATGGATGCTAGAGATGATCTAATTCTCGCCTCTCTGATGACTCTTTCATCTCCATTAGCCACCAAGAGATACTGCCTCATACCATCAAGGACCTCACTCGCTATTTTAGGTCTGCCTGTTGCCGGGTTCAATCCGACATGCTTTTCCTCAATAACACCAAAGAGCGGATCACCATCTTTTAGAAACAATTCCCCAGGAGATAAGGAGAGGGCAGCAAACCCTATATTAGGCAAGATCTTAGATTGTTTCTTTAGTAGCTTTAAAGGACATGAATCTTGTTGGTGAGTCAGGCGTTGACAGCTATAACACCTTTTCTGAATTCTTTCAAAGTCGTATAGAACAGTTGCTGACCCTCCACCAGGAAGATTAACCACTTTGGACAGCCTGATCGGTCGAGAGACATCGAACAGAACTCTGACTCTAACAAAACCCAGACTCTGACTTCTTTTCGGATCAAAAGCAACTTCTATGACTTTTCCCACAAGATCTCCCAAGGCTGTTATTGCTTTTGTTGTGTAATGATTTACCGGGATCTGACGGAGCTGAATCCAGACTGGGATGAATTGCAGATAATCAGCTGGTGGTTTCTCAATCCAACGGTCAATGGCAAGAGCCCGCTCATTATAAGTATGGACTCCTTTCTTGAGGATCATTTCCATCTCGTGTTCATATTTGAAGATGAACTGGAACCTTTCTTTGGACAAAGCTATGCCCCGAACTCTATCGTAAAGTTGCCACTTACGAGGCATATCCAGGATAAGACTCGCCATCTTTTGACAATCAGGGTTTAGCACCCTACCGATGATACTCTGAACGTTATCTTCGGATGAGCAGTAATCAGGCAGATCTGGCATATCGAAGGGAACCTCCTCTTCCTCCATCGATAGCGCCATCATCGCACGATCCATACTGGCCGACATCTTAAAAGATGTTTGCCAAAAGGGAGAAAGCAAACTTGAAAGGAGAAGATGAAGAAAGCTAGAACACAGCTACAGTAATTGATGAAAGAGAAAAACAGTTTTCTGGAAAATATCAGGGCAAAAGAGGGAGAGAAACAGGAAAAGAGCTTTTGAATCTCGAAAAGAAGACTGTTATTCCCGGTAATGAGCCTTATCTTTAACAAAAGCGAACACTCTAGTTGAAAAGGAGACTACTAAGCCCAAAAAAGGGAAACAGATATTTTTTTCTTAAAGTTGACAAGATCGTATTCTGTGACTGCTATCTTTTATAGAGTTGTAGGGATTTTTTGTATTAAATCAAAAATAAACAGTGACATAAGAGGTATAGCGTAGGGTTTTTAAATACGGTCGTATTCTGCGTCACAATATACAAATTCTCTTAAAATAAATAAAAACAAGTAATAAAATTGAAAATTTCCAAAAACTGAAGAACAAGTTTTTAAAAAAAAATATATATAGGAGCTAGAAAATCAAAACATACAAAAAAACATTCATTAAATAATCAAAAAGGTAAAGAGAAAAAATAACAAAAAAAATATGGTAACAAATAAGTATAAATTTATAGAGGCATAGGGAACATAGATATAACCAATTAAAAAAATCTGAAAACAAAAAAAATGAAAATTGTAAATTGCAAAAAGTAAAAATAATCACTAGATGGAGAATTCAATGGGAAAAAGTAAAAAACAATGGTTGAAAAGATTACTAGCTAGGATCATCAAGGAAAACAAAATATAAAATAAATCACAAAAGAAATCAAAAGTTGAACTAAAAGATTAAAACATAAATTAAAATCTGTCCCAGCTATTAGCTCCTATATAAACTATTTAATTTAAACTCAACTGTGTTACAAACACTAAATCATAAACATAATTTAAATCTAATTTAAAACATAATAAGAATAAGTTAAATCAAATTTGAATTAGATTAAAATATCATAAACATATGAATAAAAAATAATTCAGATCTTAAGTGTAATTTAATTTTTATTTTTGAACTAACAAAAATAATTTAATCTTAATACAAAAGAAGAAGAAAAATATGAGTTAAATTGAAATATAATAGTCTAAGCAAGTTTTAAATATCTAGAGAATAAAAAAATAAGAAAAATTACAATATCAAAAGTAACATTCATTAAACAATTGAAAAAATAATAAACTATTAAAATATAGAAAAAATAATAAAACAATAAATATATATACAAAATATTAAAGATATAAGTAAAAAAGAAGGAATTAGTGATAAATATATATATATATATGTGTGTGTATGTATGAAAAAAACCTAAAATTTGTAATTTGAGAAAGTTAATAAATGAACATTAAATCATAATGTGGATAAAAAAATTCGAAAAAATAATGGATGGATAAGATTATTAAGATTATCAAAAAGGTATAAAATAATATAAAAAATTAAAAGTTGATAGTGTATAATCTTGCGGCGTAGCGCATGTTCTCTTCAAGTCTTTTTATAAATAGTGATGTATCCCTGTCCTCTGTTATGAATGGGATCCAAAAATTGTGTGATAAGCTCTGAAAAAAAAAAACAATTAACCACAGAACTTCGATTAACTTTCAACTCGTTTAGTCACTGAATTTGAACACTATTTCGTTATTCCTTATCTAACCGACCTACTCTTTGTTTGCAGTCACCGATCTACTAGCTATTATTATCTCTCCGCTAAAAATTTATTAAATGATCAGAAGTTCCCCTTCATACTACCGATTTGCCCCTTGATCATCTAACCATTCTAACAATATCATTTTCTCATTTGTGAGAGTTTGTACAATCCTTCTTGTTTTGTGAGGTTTGGGTTGAAAGATGAATGAGTCATTTGTATGATGAATTTTTTATTACCGATATGAATCTTACAAGTGACAACAAAACAAACATTAAAAGTGTGATGAAATTATAGCGCGTACCCCAACTCTTTTGAATGGTGGATATCTTGCATCATATATGGTGAATCATATATAAAAGAACAAATCATATAAATAGAACAAATAAAGGAATTTAAGTAGAAGCTGTAACATCTCTATTCTCGGTCGCTGAAGAAACTGATAACTAAGAGTTTTCAGGCTCTTAGAAGGGTTATCAATCCCCTTGTCAAAGTAGTATAAGGGGTGTCAAACCAAGCTTGTAAACGAGACACTAGCCTATGTCATTTGTTCACTTAAGTCAAGACAAGATGATAAAAGTTTGGTGACGATGATTAACAGGCAAATGAGCAATAAAGTTAAGTAAAAGCAGAGATTTAAACTAATCAAGATGCAAATAACAAACAGGTGATTCAGATGAGGGTAATGAATGATAAAGGCAGAAGCTTTAGACAGGATATTTGACTCGGGTGCTTCTAAGTTAGACTAAGGGGCTAATGAATCATTTTATCAAGCGATTTCATTTGACTTTGAACTCAAGGCACGTTAATCTTCTCATGAAAGTATTAAACGTCTAAACTGATCCTCTTTCATACCAAAATCCCTTTTGAGAAGCACGAATCAGTCAGCAATAAGAATCGGTTCAAAAACGTCATTTAAGAGAACAAACTATCACTCTCGCGATGAAAGACTCTTAAACCCTTAACCGAGTGGTTCAGACATTTCTACAAACACTTCTGATGCGAGATATGTCTCAGATCTTAACCTCAAGTGATGTGCTTGGATCCAGCTTAGAGATCTCGTCGGATAAGGAATGAAACATGCAAGACTAGACACCTAAACCCATTAATCCACCTTGAAAGCACCCTAATCTACCTATCTAAAGCTGCTTAAACGACTACTCACTGATCATAACGAGCTCACTAAGTCCTTTGCAAGACGGTAGCTAGTCATGATAAGGAGTTTGATGTTGGATGATAAAAGAAATAAAGAAAGAACAAGATTCCGATGCAAAAACGAGATATCGGATTAGATTAATCAACTTTCACAAAAGAGGCAAGTTCTTAGAGCTAAAAACAGATAAGAGATAAGATCCCTAGGTTTTGTCTCAAAATGTATTTATAGCAAAGGGAAAGTGTCGCGGGTCAGCCCGGAACAAGCCGGATACTGAACCGCCTTCTTGGGTTGATGGGTGAGTGCCACGGTGTGTCGGAAAAGAAAGCCGAGGTCTTCATGCCGAGGCGTGCACGTGAGTCAGGATCCAGATGAAGATCTCGTGAAGAACACATCAAGAACATGCATGAACCCTAGTCTTTGATCTATCCTCACGTGTATGTTCTTGAGCCATTCTGTTCTTGATTCTGGGTTCGTGACAAGGGACCTCGGGATAAAATGTCGAGGGGTCATGATGTCGAGGTGCTTGGGAGAACACAGTCTGGCATGCACGCCGAGGTCATTACACCAAGGTGTACTTTCAACACTTAGTCGTTTCCAGCTTCAGTTCTTACGTATGCATGCCTCGATCTAACCATGCCAAGGCTTTGGCACGAGGTCTAGTCCAGAATACTTCCAAGATATGAGCCTCGACTTGAGTGACGCCAAGGTAAAGATACAGAGGCTTGTGAGAATACTTAGCGCGTATCGCAACTCTTTTAGGCTTGTATCGACCATGTCACCTTCCGGAAGCAGTAACTTTCAGCACACGACTCCAATTGCTCTGGGACCAGTTCCACAGTCAAGATGACTCAATAAGCTCGACCTTTGGTGAAGAAACCATCGGAGCTTGGGGAGTGGAAGGCTTCCTGGATTTAACATCTTTGCGCCGCATTGAAATCACCGGAAAATAGACTTTTAGACCGATGTGAACTCCGGAGACCCTATCTTCCAAACCTTTGCTCCGAATTTAGCGATTCCAAATGCTCTTAGAAGATCTTCCATGGATCTCGAACTTTGGTGAAGACCGGGTAAGCTGGTTCGGTCTGGAGGGGCTTCGTCCGCCATGATCTTTGAAGTTCGCCGTTCAGTTCTCGGGTACGCGCAATGCTGGTGAATGCTCCGGAAGCCATATCTTTCTCTCCACTGGTCCGAATTGGATGATTCCAACTGTTCTGGAATCTTTGCTTGGTTATCTCCAACTTTGGTGAAGACCCTTCCAACTGATTCGGACCGGAAGGTTCCCCGGATTGCTGATCTCTGAATTGCGCGGGCAAGGACAACTTTTGGTCGTAAAAACCTTCCCGCGGTAAGAAAAATGGCCGAGGGCTGTGTACCGCGGTAAGCTTTTTGGTCGTAAAAATTCTTGCCTCGGTCAAAAACTTGTCCCGTGGTATTTTTGCACTCGATACTCGATTCTGGCCGATCGGTAAGGTTTTTGGCCGGTAATGAGCGTCCGGTAAACATTTTGGCCGAGGTTTCCGACCAGCCGGTACGAGATTTGGCCGAGAAATTCCTTCAAGCGGTTTTCACCATTTTTGACCCTTTTCTTCACCGTTTTCTTTTCTGTTCCTCTTCTTAGGCTCCAATTGGTCTCCAGAGCTCCTGATAAAGACTTCAAAACATGCAAAACTCTTTGGGACCTAATGCAAGCCCTAAGTCCTATTTTAACGCCTAAAGACTCAATTTACATGAGAAAACACATGATGATGACTCTATAATGCAATCTAAATGATGTAAAATATAGACATATCAAATCCCCCACACTTTTCCTTTGCTTGTCCTCAAGCAAAAAGAACAAATGAGAGAGAGAGGTTGTAATGCAGATGGAGCTCATATTTCCTTTTTAGAGAGAAGTGACCACAAGAGAACTCGGATTCATGCTCAAATATGCAATGCAAAGCTATACTCGGATATTTTCCAACTAAAACACGGAATCTCCACAAGTCATTATCACATTCAACTCTTTCACATTCATTAAGTTCGTAACCGGTGAATCAAATGATGCAATGCTCAAATAGGCTGGCTTGGCTAGGGTAAGGTCATGAGATAAAAATGATCTCATCAATATTCAAGCAGGTGCAATGCAACAAGGATCTCTCTATGAACGACCGAACTTTGGCAGAATGCTAAAGGTAAAAAGCAACCGAT